CGTTTCTTTGATCCATCAGAAAAGGAGAGGCAATGTTTCCCATCCCGCCATGAGCGTGGATGAAAGGGAATTGACCACATAAGACATAATGAACATAGACTTAGAACTCCTCCTCTTCAAGGACTTTGGCCACCACAAAGATTCATACCAAAAGGAAAATTATGTTAGTAAGAGATGAGGCCCTGAGCTGCCTCTGGCCCTGCAGAGTTTTGAGGCACATGATTTGCTCTTGTGAGGGCACTGCCCCCATAGTGGGGCTTGGCCTCTTGGGTTGAACCCTTTCTCACCATTCCCTGCTGGCTCGCTCCTGCTCTCTCTGCTCTTTGTTACCTGCATTCATAGGTGTTGAGTTCTCCACCTTGGCCTGGAAGATGGCAGGTGCAGTCCAAGAAGCAAATATGTAGTCCTCCCCATGGGGGTAGGCATGTGACTTGCCAGGAGTGAGCTAAGAAGGTTCTGGTGTAGGCCTGGAAGACTGCCCAAGAGCCCTGACCTGGAAGAGTGTTGGAGTGTAAGCACCTGCCCCTGTGATTGGAGAAGCTGTCCCTTCCCAAGAATGTAGAAGGGGGAGGAGCCAGTCTCTGCCCAGAAGGAGGAAGGAAGGGATACCATTAGGTCAAAGCCAACGCAGCAATTCATTGAGTCTGAGCTCACAATAATATGACTGCTTAGAATGGACTTTGGGGCCAGCAGATTCCTTATAACCCAAGGAATTTACACAAACTCAACCAGTTAGTTTCTCCTTTATAATTGGTAATGGCAGTATCTCTCTGAGAGTTTTTGCCAAGAATAAATTGGATAATAATACAGATGGCAATTACTGCCACTTGTTGAGTATATCTGTTATAATCACCACCATAATTGCCATCATCATTAATATCACCACCATCATCATCATCACCATCATCACTACCATTGTCACCATCACTCCTATCACCATCATTATTGCCATCACCACCAGCACTATCACTACCATCACCATCACCACTATCATCACCGTTATTATCACCATCACCACTATCATCACCGTTATTATCACCATCACCACTATCACCACCATCATTATCATTACCATCACCACCAGCACATAACCATCATCACCAATGCTATCATCACCACCATTATCACCATCACCACTATCACCATCATCATCACCACCATTGTCACCATCATCATCATCATCACCATCATTACCAGCACATACCCATCACCACCAATACTATCACTACCATCACCATCACCACCATTATCACCATCATCATCATCACCACCAGCACATAACCATCATCACCAACACTATCATCACCACCAT